GGTAACCCATAAAAGACTCTAGATGGCCTTAGTGACCTTTAAGACACTTGATTACCATGGTAACTTTTCAAGGATTGTCATTAAGCGTGTGACCTGTACCGTGGCAGCAGCAGGACTCGTCGGTGACGGAGCTGATGGAGGACTCCTCTCTGAAGCGGCTGTGCAGTCGAGCGGCGCTGGAGGAGCGGACGGAGCTCGTGCTGTAACGACACGCCATGATGCAGGACAGGAGCACTGTCGCTCTCTGCTGACATATAGAGAGCTGCTGCACTGCATTGTGGGATATCTGGCCTCTCTGACCGCTCCATAAAAGGCCGAGCTCCTGGAATCCACTCCTGGAGTAACGGTCCGAGAGATAAGACATGGAAAACTTCACAGAAACACCCACACAATCACACGACGATAAACCACTGAAAATACATACAACAAAAATATCAAAGTCTGCTACTGAAACACTAAAAGAACTACAAGAAACCCCAGCCAGCGTTTAAGTGATAAATAGATTTTATTTTATTTTTTTGTTATTTATCAGATTTTTTGTTTGTTTGTTTGTTTGCTCTTACTGGACACTGACTGATAAATGATGCTTGTGCTTAAGTTACAAATAATTATTTTTTATTTATTTTGTGTTTATTTGTTTATTGTTTTACTTGACACGTAATAGCATATATAGATAGCATTCATTTATTTTAATTAAAAACCCAAACAAGAAAAAAATATAAAAAATGCATTAAAATGATTATTTAGAACCCAAACAAGATGCAAAAACAAACACTCTGATATTAAAATAACTAGTCAAGCAGTCAAATATTCATAAGAAAAACAAAATGAAAGGTGTGGAGTCAGACTGTACAGCACGTTCACTATCGAGGGACTGAAGAGAGAATAATTAAGCACTGAATCAGAGACCAGTCCACAGAGAGAGTCATTTCCAGAACACAAACTTGCAGAGACCCCTGAACGGATCTAATTAAGAGACAAACGCATGTTTAACACACACACACACACACTCTCTCTCTCTCTCACACACACACACACACACAAAATGACGTCCTGGATGCTGATTTTAGAGAGGAGGTCAATATTTGTCTATTTATAGACACTTAACCTCACACACACAAACACACCCACACACTCAATGTCGTCTCTGGCCCCGGGAAAGTGTCCACAGAAGGGGGCCTTCACTCCGTCACAGTCCAGCGACAAGATTGGACGGTTAAACGTGCATCACAACGGGCAGCATCCGGCCAATCAGAGCACGGAGTGACAAGACAACTTAAGGCGCTTTTTATAGCGTTTAACCTTAAAAAGAGCTCATCTTCACAGAGAGAGAGAAAAAGAGTCGAGATAAAGGACAATGACAAGGAGAAAGAGTGAGATGAGAGAGATTGAAAGTGAAATGCTGAAACCATGCAGCTATACACACACACACACACACTAAATTCTGTTAAGGAATATTTATTTAATTATTTAAAATGTTGCAGGTTTGTGTCTCCATGGTTTCAGCAGTCAATAAGGATTATTTGTAACTTTATTTTCAAGCTTTATAAATAACAGTAATTGATTTTATTAAGAACCTTAACAAGAAAAAATGCATAAATAAATAAATAAACATAAAAAAATAAAAGAATAACAATTAAATTAAAAATAAATACAGAAAGTAATAAAAAGGTGAAAATAAGGGCAAGTAGTAATATAAAGATAAATTCAGGAATTATATATATAAAGTAATTGTATTGTTTTACATATTTTATATATATATTATAATATAATATTATAATATATATACGGTAGTGTGTGTATATATATATATACATACACACTACCTTTCAAAAGTTTGGGATCAGTAAGATTTTTTATATTTTTTACAGAAGTTTCTTGTGCTCATCAAGGCTGTATTTATTTGATCAAAAATACAGAAAAAAACACTGTTATTTTGTGAAACATTATTGCAATTTAAAATAACATTTTCTATTTTAATATACTTTAAAATATAATCTATTCCTGCGATTTCAAAGCTGAATTTTCAGTGTCACATGATCTTCAGAAATCATTCTAATATGCTGATTATTATCAGTGCTGGAGACTGTGCTGCTTCATGTTTTTTGGAACCTGTGATACTTTTTTTGGGATTCTTTGATGAATATATATAAAAAAATAATAAACAGCATTTATTCAAAATGTAAATCTTACAATATGTTACAATATGCACTACCATTCAAAGGTTTGGAGTAATCATTTATTTTTTTGAAAGTAATAAATACTTTTATTCAGCAAGGATGTGTTAAATGGATAAAAAGTGATAGTAAAGACTCATATTGTTAGAAACTATTTTAATTTTAAATAAATGCTGTTCTTTTTAATGTTTTATTCATAAAAGAATCCAGAAAAAAGTATCAATAATAGAAATTGAAATAATATCTCACAATATTACATTTTTTTCTGTATTTTTGATCAAATAAATACAGCCTTGATGAGCAGAAGAGACTCCATTAAAAAACATTAAAAATCTTACTGATCCCAAACTTTTGAACGGCAGTGTATATATATAACATTGTGATTTTTCTTCAAATGTGACATTTGTGGATCTGTTATCTTGCATTGAAATATTTAAAGGGCAAAATAAATATTTTAAATGTTTTTTTAAAAAATGTATGTATACATTTTTAATATATTTTTCAAAGATATCCCAAAACATCAATTTGGTAAAAAAAAATCCAAAAATTTATTTGAAATATACTAGATTTATACTTGAAAATATACTTGAAAAAATAGATTTGAAAATAGATTTTTTTTTTGCCGTATGAGAATGGAGGATGAAATGGAAAATCAACACTTGTGTTAGAAACGGAGTCGAAGCGATGAATCATAATCAGACTGTAAGAGGCTGTTGGCAAATGGAGCATCAGAGCGTTACGTAAGAGACTTCTGCAGAGACGCTTTTGATCATCAACCAGAAACAAACCCCCAGAAAACCCACTGCAATCACACAACCCTGTGGACCGGAGAATGCGGTAGCTAAGGTGTTCAGAATAGTTCAGTGTGTTGCTATGGTGTTCTAACCACAGAAAACCACAGCAACTGCATAGCAATGTGATAAATAACATTTTAATCACCTTAGATATTTTCTTACTGGTCCGAGTGAAGAGAGTCACATAAAAAAATATTTAGTTTCAAATATATATTTTAAATATATTTTTAAAAATGGCCAAAAAAAAAAAGTTTGATAAAATAGGTTTCAAAATATATTTACGTAAATATATTTTCACTAATGTATTTTCCGGCCATTAAAATTTTTTTTTTTTAACAAATATAATTTTTTTTAAAGCATTTAATAATACATATTTATATATTTAGAATTCTATTCAGAATACAGTTTTTCTAACATATTTTATCGCTTTGATCTCTAATCAGGCTATACTGTAAGATTGGAAATGTATTTTCATGCCCCTAAAATATGAAGGTTGAAATTAAAGGTATTTCAATATATTTCATTGCATTTGACTGTTTACAACATATTTACACACATTTATTGCTTTATTTTAGTGTTGTTTGTTTCCATCATGGTGTTTTTGTATTTGTGTTTAATAATTTCAATACTTAGACTCTGAACTATCAGTTACAATAAATCAGGCCACTAAAAAAAAGCAGTGGAATCAAGACAAATATCACTCTAAAAATCAAACATAAGACATCTTTAGCCGGTAATATTCTCGTCTGCAAACGAGCAGCTGTGTCTCTTTGTACGACTGCTGTTGCTATGGAAACACTGGATAAGACAGGAAGTGGCTGGGCTGTAGGGGGGAAGTGATGTAACGAGGTTTGGATGGTGCAGTCTGGCATTTGGACATTATTTACAGCAACCAAAACACAATCTGAGCCCAGATCGGAGTACCATTCATGAAAAGAATGGAATTCCAGTCGTTCCAAACCTGTATGACTTTCTTTCTTCAGTGGAGGGGAAAAAAAGTAGAAACACTGCAGAGTATACAGTATTTATTAATATTTTTAATTAGATTCATTTTAATAATTTCAGTTTAAGTTTTAGTCATTTTGTTGTGCTTTTGTCATTTTTATTTTTATTTTATTTTTCTATTTAGCTGTAATTCATAATTTATTTTGCTATTAGATATAATTTGTTTAGTTCAGTTTAATTTTTATTAATTTTAGTACTTCAACTTAAATGAAAATCAGAAATAATATCTTAGATACTTAAGTTTTTTACATAAAATTTACATTTTATTTTATTTCAGCTTTATTTCAGTTAACAATTTTTTTTTTAATGGTTTTACAGTTAACAATAACAACACTGGCTTAATCACAAATAAAAACCAAACCAACAATAAAATATTATTTAATTTCAGCTAGTTGCCAAGGCAACATTTTTCCATTTTCATTAAGTTTATCTTGATGTACTAACTAACTGAAATAAAAATGAATAAACTATATAGACATTAAAAAAATAACAACAAAATTACTAAAACCTAAAACTAAAATGAAAACAAAATAAAGCTCAATTCAAAATCTTAACTATAAAAGTAAATAAATTATACTAAAATACTAGTCGGCATTTCAGTTAATGACATATTTGTTTAATATATTATGACATTTTCATGGTGGATTTGGAGTTTGATGTACTGTGTGTGTGTGTGTGCGCATTAGATATACTGTATATATGTGTGTGTATATACACAAGTATGATTGTGTGCATATGAGCGCGTGCGTGTGTGTGTGTGTGTCTGTATATGAGAGAGAGTGTGTGTGTGTGTGTGTGTGTGTGTGTGTGTGTGTATACTAATTAGATTGTCAAAACTGTCTGATTGACTATAACCCATAATTTCTTGGTGAATCATGGATCTCCATGGTAACTCTGGAACATCTGAGAACAAAAGTGGCCCTTATAGAAAAACAGAGAGTGCTTGAAATTTACCGAACGCAAAACCAGGACGAGCGACAGTAACACAATTACACAGAGACAAAGAAAGAAAAAGGGCTGTTCATTTCGTTTTCACATTAGTATTATTTTTTCCTGATGTAGACAATATCACACAGTGATAATTCAGAGACAGAAAGAGAGAAAGAAAGCAATAAACAAGCATCTTGTGAACAAACCACAGCGTTACTCACTTACTCCAAATTCACCGCAAAAACCACATGTACAAAAATAGAGCAACTCTCCCAAAGTCCTTCAAACTGACCCACATTTATGATTCACCAACACTGGATCAACTCCGAAACATTCATTGTGTCCGTCTGAGGACGAAAATGCTTTAAAACAGGCAAAAACAAACATTCCATTCAATAATATAATCAAAATTTATAATAATAATAGAAAAACAGCATAACTTGATCGTCGGTATTCTTACGCATTCTATGTCATGGTATAAACATTCAGCATTCGTGCTTCTTTGTAAACGACTGTACGTTTTTGACGTAATCAGCAAGCCATGCCAACCAGGGACCAGGGAACAGGCATCCTGTGATCAAGACCCAGAATGCAATGGGGCCTGACGTCACATGAGGAGCGGGAATACACAACAGCTAAATCCACAAACCGTGCGATACAACTGGACGTCCAGGACTTCGCGCTCAGTCTGGCACTTGCGAGACACATGCATGATAATAAGGGCGACGTCAGTCTTGCGTTCCTCCGTTTAGTTTGTCAAGATGCATTTTTTCGTGAGCCTGAGAACGAAAGATTCAGTGTTTTCCAAAAGAGAAGAGCAACTGGCGCCCAAAATGCAAATAAGTGGTTGGAGCCCGAATGCAAACCAAAGGGTGGAGTCTGAATGCAAATAAGTGGGTGGAGCCAATATGCAAACCAACAGGCGTAGTCCAAATGCAAATAAGTGGGCGGAGCCTGAATGCAAACAACGGGTGGAGTCTGAATGCAAATAAGTGGGTGGAGCCCGAATGCAAACCAAGGGGTGGAGTCTGAATGCAAATAAGTGGGTGGAGCCCAAATGCAAACCAATGGATTGAGTCTGAATGCAAATAAGTGGGTGGAACCCATATGCAAATCAACAGGCGGAGTCCGGATGCAAATAAGTGGGCGGAGCCTGAATGCAAACCAATGGGTGGAGTCTAAATGCAAATAAGTGGGTGGAGCCCGAATGCAAATCAAAGGGTGGAGTCCAAATGCAAATTAGTGGGTGGAGTCCGAAAGAAAAATGCACTGTTCACTGTTCTTCTCGCTCTTCTTCCTCCACGTCTTCCTCGTCGAGCGAGACTATGCCGGACGAAGCCACATCCGACACCTTCCTCCACGTGGAATATTCCGGCGGAAGGCAGACTCCGCCCCCGCATTCCTTACAAGGCGTGTCCTCGTCTTCGAACGTCTCGGAAAACGTTTCCAAGCAGCAGGGGGAGTGGCCTCGCCTGTGCCCCACCCTGTGTAGGCGGGCTAACAGTAGCTCCTCCCCTCCCTGAAGAGCGCCGAGGATCTTGGCGGAGAGGTCGGCGGCAGGCGTGTCCGTGTGATGCCTGAGATCCCGAAGCAACGGGTGTCTCTCGTCCAAACTGCACATGCTGGAGCAGAGCGTGTCCGACGGCGACCCCGGCGACCCCACTGGAGGTGAAAGGTCAGCGCCCACACCACTCTCCGCCTCACACAGGCCATGCCCCCGCAGGTGAGTCTGACACACCGGAGTGTGCAGGAGATCCCGCAGGTAATGAGGGTACGAGGACAGATCTGAGAGGAGACCACAGGTGCGTTAGAATCACAGCAACAAATCAATACTTCAATCAAGGATATTTACTTATTTTTACTGGAAAACAAGATTAATTTACTACAGAAGCAACATAGTAAGACAGATAATCTATTTTGAGCATGTTTTTCCTCACCCATCTGGCAAATTGTTTTTTCTTTTTTGTTTTAACCTCATTAAAAAGTTATAGTTAGGCTTAAAATAAAAATTAATAAATGTAATCTGTGAATATATAATACAGCAGAAAAATAAATAAATAACAAATAAACAAAAAGTATATACGAATATATGAATACAACAGGAAAAATCAAATATCTGCCAAATATGCTTACAAAATGTATATATACAATTTTTTTAAAAGTTAAAATATGAAAATATTTTTGTATGAAATATGAAAATATACAAGCGTGTGTGTGTAATTTTATTTTTATTTTCTTGGTTTTTATTTTACTTTTTATGTATCTGTTCATTCATTCACTTATTTATTAATTATAATAAATACATTTTATAAATATATAATTTTTACAAATAAATGAATTATACACACATACATATATATAATTAATCATATTATCAATAATTAGTGTTATTAATTGCATGTATGTGTGTGTAATATATATATGTGTGTGTGTGTGTGTGTGTGTGTGTGCGAGTGCATATATATATATATATATATATATGTGTGTGTGTGTGTGTGTGTGTGTGTGTATATGTATATGTGTGTGTGTGTGTGTGTGTAGTAATAAATAAATAAACTAATAAATGCATGAATGTACTAACACATGAATAAACAGAAGTAAAAAAAAAAAAAAAACACCAAGAAAATACATTAAAATATCTAAAATGAGTACATATTTATATATTTATGTATATAGTATAAATAAATATAATTGGCATAAACTATTTATGTTGCATTATGTTATTTTAATGTAAGTATCATGCCAGTCACTTCAGTGTTTTTTTCCCTTCACCATCATTTGGCTGAGAGTTTGTGTTTTCCAGAACGGTGGTTATATATTAAAGATCAAATATGTCCTGATTGTCTGTGACAGTCGTGCCGCAGCAGCGTTTGGCCTTTAACAGCTCATTGGTGCTGGAAGAGCATCGTAACGCGTCTGATTAAAACAGTGTAAACCTGCAAACTCTAGCTGTACAGAGATGAGCAACTTTATTCCCTCCACTCTCTCTCTCTACAGTCTGCCGCAGCAGAACACATTAAACTTGCAGGAGAAATGAATGCTGGGATATCAAATAGCACCGGAGAGCAAAACGAGAGAGACCGAGAAAGAGAGAGAGATGTTTTCTAAATGAAAGTAGGGCACTAGGACAGTAATGTCTGTGCTGCGATTCTGCGTTCAGTTTGATGGGGAGAGAAAATGAAAAATAGATAAAAGGAAGAAAGAAAGAACGAATATACAGAGAAGCTGCAATTATATCTGTGCTGACAAAAGAATAATGTTTTGAGGAGAATGTGCAATGACTAATTTCACATGCTTATAAATACATTTTAATAATAATAATAATAATAATAATAATGTTTATCTATAAAACTATCTATAATTATGTGAACAAATTACGAATAAATATATATAATAAAAATAATATAGAAATATAATAAAATAACAAAAATATTTTACACGGCATTATTATAATATAAGTTATACTATGATTTCTAGTATTATAATTATAAATTTATATTGTAATTTATTATAAATAATTTAATGTGAAATTGCTAAATAAATGCAATACACATGCACAGTATACTGACACACAACAACAGCATCAGCACACAAAATCACCATTTCAGACCTTAATTACCCTTTATTTTATACCACGACATGAATAATGATTAAAGTAGATGCTATAATACAAATCACTACATCCATTAATAACAATTAAATAAATATCAACTTGGTGCATCATTAAAGAAATGAAGAATCCGTTTTATCGTGTGTGTGTGTGTGTGTGTGTGTGTGTACCTGTGCTCTGTGTAACGGGCTCGTTTGCAGGTAGAAAATCTTCATCATAAGAATCGTCATTAGACTCGTCGCCATCCACTGAAGACCAGGCGCGAAGCTTTGCCTCCGCGATGGCAAACTGCTCTGCCACTCCTGATTAAAAAAAAACAAAACACAATAAATGACATTACATACTTCACACAACATATCTACATCAGATTTACAGTAGATCACACACTATGGTCATTTGATCAAATGTAGCAGAGGGTGTGATGCGTCGCCATGGATACAGGATGACAGTTCTTATTGGCTGCCACAGAGACCACGTTTGATTGACAGGTCATTTGAAACGGAACATTACCTAGATGTGCAATGATGATGATGACGACGACGACATCACAGCAGTGTCCTCAATGAGACAGGAAGTGACCTCACTCTCACACACACGCACACAGTTCTGTTCAGACACATTCACATACAGTGCCAATTAGCTAATTAAAGCTCTCGCTCTGTCTTAATTTATTGACAGGACACAAATGTTTTTTTTTTTTATTTACCACAGGCACACTTGCAGCATATATGCATACAGTGAAAAATTGCAATATATGTACAATAAATTAAAGTAAAAATAGTGCAAGCTGAGATATAAACAATTAAAATGTGCAAAATAAAAGAAAATAGTAAAAGAAAACTTAAATCTCTATGTTCAAATAAATAATTTTTTTTAATAAATAATATTTAAAATAAATAAAACGGCAAATAAAACCTCAATGAAATAAAATACAATAAAGCAAAATAATTAAAATCTCAATAAGTGCAAAACAAAATAAAATTATAAAAATTCAATAAAATAAATCTAAATAACGGTCACCGTCCCACCTGTGGGACGCTTGGCGCTCTTTTTGTTGTTGTCCTTTTTCTCCATCAAATCTTTTAGTAATCATCATGAAGCATATATCATTTGAAAGCTTAGAAGCCCAAGATTCATCCTGTGAAAACCATTTTAAAATAGTTACCATGGAAATGGTACTTTAAAATCTTTTGCCGGTCTCCTCCCCCTTAGTGGGCGGTGTCAAGTGTCATATTACAAAATGGTCTTTTAGAATCAAACCTTTTTATGATCTTGACAAAAAACATATCATTGGTAAGGTCTGAGTCTCAGGATTCCATATTTGGTGGTTATTTTGAGATAGAAGTAATATTGACAGAAATCTAGACATTTGTGACAGAAAAATGCATTAAAAAAATCAATGGCGTTTGGATGGCACCCGGTGGCTGTTTGTGGTATGACACCCTAAATAAAATCTCACAGGAACCTCAATTTTTTTCATATCAACTTAAAATTTGGAACATAACTTATTTAGACATAAGGCTTTAATTTTATACTAATTTTAGAGTAAAACCTGTTATGTCAAATATAGTGAATATAGTGCATTTTATTTACAGTACATTTGACAGTACAAATGGGGGATGACAGTTAAGGGGTTAATGTCAATAGGTGCAAAATAAAGTAATAAAAAAATAAAATAAAAAAACAACTGGCAGAACTTTTTTGCTCAACCAGCTACATCTGAAAGACCTTATTGACCTGCATTAAACCAGCATGAACCAGTATGGAAATAAGCAATTCATGAAATTTAACAAAAAAAGGAATAAACAATTTGGGTGCAAAAATAACCAGAGTATTAGATTTTTTCTCAATGGACTTGACATTTCTCCAAACTCCGGTCACCGTTTCTCAAAACAGTTAATACAGTGATCTGAATACTTTGTAGTTGTTCTAAACAGATTGTATGTTTTCATTCATTTCATACAAATTACAAATCATGCAAATAATTCTCAAAACACTGTGCACAAAACCCTCAAATGTTTTCACAATAGTTAATACAACCAACCAATACTTTAAAATATCTGGGGGGAAAAAAGGTTTTTACACAAATCATAAACATTTATGTACCATTTTTCCAAACACAACAAACAAAACTCTGTAATTTGTCATTCTATAAAATAAGCATGGTATATTTTCCATTGGCCCTAAACTGACACTACTCGGTTAATTATACACATAACACAGGAAATGCAGTTTTCCGAATAGTTTACACACACACACACACACACTGTATGAAAAGGACAATCCTGTGACATTGACAGAGAGAGAGAGCTGTGAATGAATTCCTCTCAGGTTCGGCCCATAAATCGTCATGTCGTTGCAGGAAAAACGCTTCGTCACAGCAAGAGCAACAGAAAATAACCTTCAGAGGACAGACGGGCCTCTTGGGAAAGGTCAGAGGTACGGATGGGAATCATTTAAAGAATTGTTAAGGAAGCGGAATCGTTAAGCAAACATAAACCGATAACTCATGAGCTCGATCATTAGTCTGATTACTCATTAAAGGAACAGGCTCTCAAGAGTTATTTCTCCATCAATCAGACTGGGTTGTGTGGTTTGTTAACGAGGTCAATGCAACATGATTATTTATCGTCTCATTATTTTTCTTTCATCAATAACGTTTATACATTTGAAAGATGTTTTATCCAAAGCATCTTTAAGAAATTAATTTGATCCGTTCATGCATTCCCTGGGAATCAAACCTATGATTTTGGTGCCATGCTTTATGTATGAATAAGCATTAAATTTTAATATAGGAAAAATAAATAAATTGCAATAAAACAAAGCAAATTAAATAAAATATCAATAGAAACAAAACTGCAAATGAAACAAAATTAAATATACAATAAAAAAAAATACAAAAACTAATAAAAAAAGGCATGGATGGGAATAACTCATGAGCTCGATTTGCTGGTTACTTAAAAATAAAACAATTAAAAATGTAATAAAATAAAGCCAACCATCAATTTAAAAAAAAAAAAAATATAATAAAAAAAT